TTTTCTCTAATTGTAAATAGAGAAATAGTCACCCCATGTAATAAGACACCAACTGGTATTCTGATATCAAATGATCAGTGCTGGAACACACATGAGAGTAATATTCTAAAGACTGAGCAGGTCGTGTATATATATATACATATACATATATATATGTAGCAATAATTAATTAAAGAAAAAGCCATGAATTTGAAAAAGAGCACAGAGGGATATACACAATGTGTTGAAGGGAGAAGATGGATGGGGAGATTGTTGTAATTTAATTTCAAAACATAAGTAATTAAAAACAGTCCCAATGATAAATTTATTACCTAAATATTTTCCTATATTATACTGTTAAATAAATGTTGAGAATTGTAAAATTGAAGCAAACATTTCAGTGAAAGAGGAAACTAACACCAGAAAGTAGAGCTGGAAATACATAGGATGAGATGGACACACAAGGAAACGTGACCGATGACAGGGATATGATGGCTGTCCTTAGCAGAACAGAATAATAAAGAAAAGCAAGGTTTGCATTTCATGAGGTTTCTAGCCCATATGGAAAACTTATTCTGAGAAATGTCAATCAAATATGTAGATTTGTTTGGCTAGGTTTCCTCTTTCTTTATTCTGTGATTAAATATTGCTAAGAATGTGACACTCAACGCAGTCTAGGGAAGAAGGAAGCTGTGGAGACTGCAGAGGGAAAACTGATTCTGTGAAGTGCATGTGTTGGAGAATACCTCCGTGGACAGTGTGGATGTTTGGGTGCATTTTGGGTGACATTGCTCATGTTTGTTGCCATGGTAATAGAAGAAGAATTCCTGGCTACGCTTTATGGTTTGAATCCTGGTTCAAACATTGCCGGACACTAGACTCTTATTACATGGCTTAGTCCTCTTAGAGATATTTATTTTCCCCACGAGTAAATTGGAATAACCCTAGTACTTACCTAATGTGGCTTTTATGAAGATGGGACCTCAAATAAAGAAATGGTGCCCAGAGAGAGTTTGGCACAAGTCACTGACAATTATTTTCATTGTATTTGTTCTTAAGCCCCCAAATCAATACACAATGCAGTATCATTCATATGGCAGGAAACTACAAAGCTATTTTTATCAGAATTCCTTTTTTATACACACTGAGCCTAGACCTGTAGATACCTGCCTATATATGTCAGGATTGCTACTTGACCTCAGTTGTCTTAAGCATCATTCCTGTTTTTTCATACCTTGTACAAAATAATTCAAAAAGCATTTTTTTTTTTAAATCTAGAATCCTCAACATCAAGTATTCTCTTGGGTTTTACTTTTAAATTTTCCTAGTGATTGAAATTGACTGATGATATTTAATAAATTATTCATAGATCTACTTAAACCCTTCAGTTAAAGTGTCAGACAGTAGTTTCATCATCCATTATTCTTTCTGGTCCCGCGCACAGAAAAACTAGAATCCTCCAGAACCTCAATTTTACAAACTCTGGTTCAACCTCTGACCACTCTCTTGTCAGAGCCGAAAGTCATTTGGTTGTAACTCGCCATGTGAACTGAGCGTATGTCGGGTGTAACCTATGAGTTTCCTGTCTGTGACAGTTACCATTGCCATGTTGTGTGATCCATCCCCTGGGCTCCCTCAGGAGGAGGGAGGATGTTGTGGTTACTGTCCTTTTGTTTGGGGAAACTTCCTTAAGGGGATTAAGGACTTCCTGGAGAACATATAGGAGACCAATGACATTCCTAAAGAGGGTGGAGGAGGAGTGGGGGAGGGGGGAGTGGGAGGAGGGGGAGGAAGTGTAAATATTTTGTGTGGAAAAATAAATTTAAAAAAGGGAAACAAGAATAAAACTTAGAAAACCCTTGACCACATCCCCACCTTAATATTTTATTATGTCATTAGTGATAAATTTTCACTAATATTCAATAAAACTCCGCACTATGGATTATTCTAGTTGTAGGCATCTTGTCATACTATTGCTATGACAAGATACCACGGGTAAAAGCTGCTTGGGGAGGAAAGGGTTAATTTTATTATCTACTTGTTGGCAGCCAGTCCCTGAGGGAGGTCAGGGGCAGAAACTCAAGCAGGGCCAGAACCTTAGAGGCAGGTAATGAAGCAGAGTCTTTGGAGCAGTGCTGCTTTGGTGGCTTGCTCCTTACAAATCGCTCAGTCTGCTTTCTTATACAGGTCAGGAGCTCCTGCAGTATTCCCTGAGAGCCGGGCCTTCTCACATCTATCCTTAATCAAGAAAATGCTTCAGAGATTTACCCACACGTCAATCAGATAGAGACATTTTTTCAGTTGAGAGCACCTCTTCCCAATGACTCTAGCTTGTGTCAAGCTGGCAAATAATAATAATAGAAATAACAACAACAATATATCCAGCACAGCCAACACCACAGAATCATTACCTCTCTTACCTCTCAGATATAGGTTATACACAGATGCCTCTGCCGAATCTATTCACGGTTATTAGTACTTGAATGTATAAACATTTTACGAGAAGAGAAAAATAATGACCAGTATTCAAGATGGAGAAAACCTATTTCTATTTCCAAGCTCGTTTAACAGGTTGATGGCTTACAATTTACTTAACATACTTGTTATTACTTTTGATTCTGGTAGTAGTGAACTGTGTCTTCACTTATGTCCCTTGCCATATGCCAGCAGTAGGAAAAGCTGCTTGGCTTTTAACACTCTGTGTGGGACACATTTTCTAAGAGAGAAAACAGAGGGGGGAAAAACTACTTTCGGTTGCTAAGAAAGCAAAATTGTATAGCACAATAATTAAAAATCTAGCCTCTGGGCTGAGGAGATGGCTCAGCGACGAAGAGCAGGCACGGTTCCTGAGGAAGACCTAAGTTCAGTTCTCCAATGTCAGTCGTAACAGCTCCATGGGGACTTTAACCTCTGTCCCTCACAGCCACTGTCACTTATGTACTTAAACACATCCAAACATAAACACCCCCTGCACCCTCTCCATACACACACATACACAAACACATATGCATAATTAAAAATAAAATAAATCTTTAAAAATATTCTAGTCCCAGGATTTAACTTTAGTCTTTAAAGGAAATTAAATGAAAAATAAAAGTGTGCTGGAAATATGAACATAACATAGATAAGTTTTCTTTTGAATAAGGAATACTTTTTTTGTTGAACACTTAATACATGTGAGGCTCATGCTAAGGAATTTTAAGGAAACCACACCAGACAGCTTTATAGTAGAGGTCAGACAAAACATCCTAATCCTGTGAGTCCTTATGGCATTAGGTGGAGATGACAGGTTAGGTTAATAAGAAACTAAAAGTAAATGACAGAGTGTACATATTGATACTTTGATTTGTATTTTTGTTTGTATTTTCTACTTACCATTATTTTAATTTTTTAAAAGACATGGGTTCTTTATGTATCTCTTGCTGGCCAAGAACACACTAGGTAGACCAGGCTGGCTTCAGGCTACTAGAGACTTCTGCCTCTGCCTCTGCCTCTGCCTCTGCCTCTGCCTGAGTGCTGGGATTAAAGGTGTGTACCACCACACCCGGCCTAATTTCTTTATTCAATTTAGCTAAGATCTTTTTGTTACTATACACTATTGATCCAATGAGAAATGTTTTTACTATTTTAACCTAATATTCAGGAAATCACAAAATTTTCTGATATTTCTTTCCCATTAATAGGTGCTCATTCCCTAGGATCCAGAAACACATATAGATATCATATTTTCTATGCAAATAGTCTAATAAGAAACTTCAACATTCATGTTTTGTCTTTTTCAAAATATGTCCTTTTCCACCTACATATACCTACTACTAGACAATATCTGATATTCTAGTGTGTGTTAATATGTATGTATGTGTATGTGCTTATGTCCATGGATGTATCTGTGTGCACAGCTGTGTACATACGTATGTCTGTATGTGTTATATTTGAGTGTGTATTTGTATGTGAATTTATTTGTGTGTATGTGTGTGTGTGTGTGTGTGTGTGTTGCCGGGATTGGACTTAGTCCTAACTATTTAACAATATAATTGCAAGGACAGTTTCATGAGATTTTATGTTCTTTGAAATATCAAACCATTTTCACTTCAGGATTCTCTCTCTCTCTCTCTCTCTCTCTCTCTCTCTCTCTCTCTCTCTCTCTCTCTCTCTCTCTATTCTACTTGACAAAACTGACAAATTCCAGGAGCTGAGGTTTAAAGTTCCGTGGTGTTTGAGTTTGCATGGTTTCCTACCAAAGCCTCATTTCAGATGCAATGGGAAGAAGCAATTTGCATGCTGTTAAGATTGTAACATAGCCACGGAGTGCTATCATGCCAAAGGAGATAATGTTTGCTGCTTGAGCAGCACCTCTGGATCTAGTATGCTAATGAGGGAGGATGCCCTTCATAAATCCTGCCCTTCGCTCTTATTCTTCCATGGGCACAGTGTATATGCTAACATGGGTCTGAATGTTTTGAATAGACTATATATATTTATATATCATCTATAATTTTAAACAAGCACATGCTGCAGTTGTTTATGAATGTACATACAGTGCTTATTTAAGGATCTATATGTTTGTGTGTATATATGTATATATATTAGTAGACATAGTGTCATTTCAAGTAGATTTTGTTTAACTTTACCTTTTTGAAGTGTTCTATTAATAAAATTAAAAGTAAATTAAGAATATGCATTTAAACAAATGTGATACTTCAGATTCGTTTATAATCAATTTAACATTTTGACATACTAGAAGAGTAGTAGCCGGCTATTTTATAAAGGAGAATTAAAACATCAGATACCAATGTCTATCTTTCTTACCTCGAATGTAACTGTCTAGATTGAGAGCAAATATTTAAAATCGTGTAGGTTTTTCCATTTGAATCCAATAGGAAGCTTCAGATTGGGTTACTTGAACTCTAGGTATCTTGATTTTAAATGAAGTATTTGTATAAATGTTCTGTAGCGAATGCTTTTTCCTAAGATGCTGCCTCTATAGAAGAGTGATTTTAAATTGAATTATCACATTTCAGGCTAAGATGACTCAACTGCCCGAGGCAGAAAAGGAGAAAATTGCCGAGCAAGTGGCTGATTTCAAGAAGGTGAAGAGCAAGTTGGATGCTGAGATCGAGATATGGGATGACACAAGCAATGACATCATCGTTCTTGCCAAGAAGATGTGCATGATCATGATGGAGATGACAGACTTCACAAGGTAATTGCGTGGGATACAAGGCGTGATAACTGGTGATAGCTACGTATTTGCCACATTGCTGAAATTTCCGAGTTTCTCCGAGTGGTAAGGGAAATGTAAATATGGAATTAGAAAGTTACAGGGGCAGAATCCCAGAATTGTGGTCAATATAGCACCATTTCTTTTGAAGCCACTACCTCATACACTCTTACCAAAATATTGTGCAACCATAATGCATAATGATGGCTATGAAGGAATTATGCACTTTATATGTAGTCAAGAAGCAATATAAGGGTTTTAAAATGTTTTTGAGACTTTGTGGTAGCACAGTAAGACTGTCCCTATTCTCTGTAGAGTCATTATGATGGCAGTGGGACACTGTACATATATCCTGAAAATTGAAGGGACTTCAAGGTCCTCTCCCCTTATCCCTGTCTGCCACACTGGGGCTTAGGTCCGGTGACTGCTGGATGCTCACTTGAACGTGAGAATTTCCCATTGAGTGAAAAACTGACACTTGCCAACAGTCTTTTGTAACTCTATAAAGAGGCTCAGAGACTTGTTTTCTCCATTTTCTGGTACTAACTGCTGTTCCTTTACCCTCATTAATTGTACCCGGTTCAGTGTGGTGGTGGTGGTGTGGGGGGGGGGGTGGTGGTGAATAAAACTGTGAGAAATACTCCAGTTTGATGCTTAGATGTTGCAGAGGCCCAACTTTAAAAGGCCACCCCACAGAAAGAAAAGGGGGTCACGGAAAGGGATCAGAAGCCAAGACTGAGCAAAATGAGGAGAAAATGGCAATTGTGGCAGTCCTTGAGGAGGAGATGTGTTGAAATATGAAGCGGCGGGGCTGCGTCCCCAACACCCCGGCCGCTTGGCTAGCTTATGCCCGAAATAACAATACACAAACTGTATTCATTTAAAGAACTGCTTGGCCCATGAACTCTAGCCCTTACAGGCTAATTCTCGCACCTGGTCTAGCCCATTTCTAATGATGTTTGTAAGCACCCCAAGGTGCGCTTACCGGAAAGATTCTAGCCTAAGTCCATCGTGGGTTGCAGCTGCCTGGGAGAGCTGAGCATGGCGTCTCTGCTCCAGCAGAGCTGTCCGGTCTCTCTGGGAGCAGAGCAGAGTCTGACCTCACTTCCTCTTCCGCCCAGAATTCTATTCTGTTTACTCCTCCCATCTATGTTCTATTCTTTTGTCTATTTTTTTGTTTTTTTTTATTTTATCTATTTAATTTATTTTTTTTTTTTTTTTTTTTCCTTTTTTTTTTCCCTTTTTCTGTTTAAACAAAAAAAAAGAAGGCTTTAACTTAACATAGCAAAATTACATATAACAAAACAGTTATCAAGTAAAAATTACAATAATCTATATCATAACTAAGAAAAACTATAACTATAGCTAACTATTCTTAACTCCATCAAACAGTCCAGAAAGATACAATATTACCTAAACAAATAAGAAATAAGCAAACTCTCAAACTCTAGAAATGAGAGACATCTCACTGCCTGGACAGTCACCCAAAGTTCCTCGGTACCGTTGGGGCATCCATCTTCAGCCTAGAGGCCCATAGTTTCCAGCAGACATTTCCACAAAGCAGGAACTTTCAAAGGCAGTCACTATCTGCTTGTCCTGAAGAATGTCTTGCAGACTCTTTCATGAATCAGGAACCCCGAAAGATCATCTCACCTTTAGGCAAGTTCAGCAGTCCTCTCTCTGCGGGTTCTCTGTGTCCAGTTTATGCAATAGTCCAGGCAAGAGCAGTTTCTTGCCCAAATGGCTATCAAACTCCATAATGATCCTCTTCGATGCCCATCTTCCTCTTGAAGTAGATTGGTGCTGCCAGGAGCAGAGTGTCTCATTGTCATGAAAAGTCCTAAGTTATTAAAACATTTTAAAATGTCATATTCTATAATCTTTGAAAAATATGAAGAATGCCTATCTAAAATATATCTATGCACATCTAGAAAATCTTAACTAACATAACTACAAACTTAACTATTAGTGATGATTATCCATTAACACCCTATATACATTACAAAATTAACCTTAAATCTCTATCAATAAAGCAAAATCTATACTAATGCAAATTATTCATATCTATATCATATCCCCCTTTAAATGTAAAAGAACATTTATAAACCCTATTTGGGAACATGGGCGCAGTTATTTCTCTCCAAACTGCTTCCTGCTGAATGGGGGCGTCGTTAATTAGGTCTTTCATGGTATAACCTGTGTGTTAGTTTCATCTCAGTTGGCAGTTGAGCGAAGCAATTTTCTGAAGGTATTCATAGCAACCGTTCAGGAGGGCGTGGTCCATCATACCATATCGGAATAGAAGAAATGAACAGGGTCTCATCCTCTGTGAAAACAAAATAGGAAACTCCTTTCGAAAGCATCATGTCCTTAGATCCAAATTTCAAAGTCAAGGCATCAAAATCTCTACGATGGATTAGTTCAGCAGCATTTATAAACAAGTATCTTTTAGCATCTGTTGCTTCTTCAGCATTCAAACAATTCAAAGAGAGCATAATAGTATACAGTATCAAGATTCTCTGTGTATTTTCCATCTTAGTATGCTTTATTTTAACCTCTATTTCGTTTATTTTTACTTTTATATCCTCTGTATCTCTTAGACCTGGAATAACTCTGTAGACCAGGCTCTTTTTGAACTCTCAGAGACCCGCCTGTCTCTGCCTCACAGGCATTGGGATTAAAGGTGTTTGCTACAACACCTTGAACTCACAGAGATGTGTTTGTCTCTGCCTTCTAGGCACTGGGATTAAAGGCGTGTGCTACCACACCTTGAAGTCACAGAGGTCAATCTCCCTCAGCCTCCCAAATGTTGGGATTAAAGGCGTGTACTACCACACACAACTTCTCTTTTTCTTTTTAACTTTAAGAATTTTAACTTTTAGTCTACATACATTTTTAACACTGTAAATCATTTAAACATTTTCTTTGTCTTTGAATCTCTTTACTGTATATCTCTCTTTTTCTGACCACACAAGCCTTTAAATTACTGAGCAATATGAGTAGGATTAAAGCCGTGGCTTTGCCAGCTAGATCCAGTCCATTCCTTAGCTTTCCGGCCTCATGGCTGAGGTACCAGTTGTAGCCACGTTCACTGCCACAACTCTACGGCATTTCAAGGTCCCTGCCAGCAAGCGAGCTTCAGCAGCCTGTGCTTGCAAACCACACAAACCGCCTGCGTAAAAGAGTCAGAGTTTGCCGTGGCAGGACAGCCCAGAAAGCCGGCATTTTTAAACGGCACAGCTTTTTTCCTGCTACAGCTGAAAACTGAAAAGCATGCGTTCAGCTTTTCATCAACACCATTTAAGTGTTTTGTGGCAGGACCTCTTAATGAGCTGCAGGGTTTTGCAGCTGAAGCTGAGTCAGGAAGCCTCTCTTAGATGAGAGTGCTTGCTTGCTTGCTTCTAACAAGCAGAGGAGACCCGAGAAACTGCTGCTACCAAGAAAACATGCTTTACTCTTTCCCAAGCTTTTTCAGGCTTTTTGTGGATTCAGTTAGCCCCACGTTGGGCGCCATCTGTTGAAATATGAAGCGGCGGGGCTGCGTCCCCAACACCCCGGCCGCTTGGCTAGCTTATGCCCGAAATAACAATACACAAACTGTATTCATTTAAAGAACTGCTTGGCCCATGAACTCTAGCCCTTACAGGCTAATTCTCGCACCTGGTCTAGCCCATTTCTAATGATGTTTGTAAGCACCCCAAGGTGCGCTTACCGGAAAGATTCTAGCCTAAGTCCATCGTGGGTTGCAGCTGCCTGGGAGAGCTGAGCATGGCGTCTCTGCTCCAGCAGAGCTGTCCGGTCTCTCTGGGAGCAGAGCAGAGTCTGACCTCACTTCCTCTTCCGCCCAGAATTCTATTCTGTTTACTCCTCCCATCTATGTTCCAGCCATGAGGCCAAGCAGCTGGTTTATTATAACTTAACCAATGAAATCAACAGATTGATATATGACACTCCCACATCAGAGATGGCCGAATGCGAGCAGGCGCAGTATGGAACCCAAGGTCAAGGACCCTGACTCACTTGCCTGAGACTTGTGTGCTCAATGAGGAAGCCCTCTCCGTGGTGCTGACCTATTTGGGGAGCGGGGAGCGCTTTGATGACGATGTTGGTCTCTGTTGTTGTCAGAGAATGCTTTTATGAAAATTTCCCTTAGTTACTCACGAGCTGAAATCTACTTACTGGAATATTCCAGTGAGTGACTCTGGTCAACGTCATTCTATGTTACCAATGAGAACAGTTCTATGTCTGGGGTTTGGTTCTTCACAGGCCAAAAATTTGCCTAGCTGCTGAGTTTAGATTGAAAGTTGCCCTGTGAGTCCTATGCATGTGGAAAGTAATCCAGATAGTGAGGAGACCCTTACCTTCACTTCAGAATATTTCTCCTGGGAGGAAACTTTCCAGTAAGTGATGGGGTCTTCACTAAAGGCAAAACCTTCAAGAAAATGTCTCTTGCAGTTGCATAGCTCGCTACACCCATCCTCTAGGGGAATGGAGGTCATTAAGGGAAGCAGAATATTGAAGAACAGGTTGCAAATGTCTTCACATAATTAACCAAAGAGCAGTAAGATGTGCAATGCTTCTCTTACCGGTTGCTGAAGAATACAAAACTGCAACGTAACGAAATTTAGTTAGTCTTCATGAAGCTGCTAAAGTCACAGAGCAGAAAACTACCCTGTGACAGGCATATTACAGGTATGAAACTGTTATATCACAATGCACTACATGCCAAACAACTTTATGATGAAATGATGAATAAGTGCAATTTGAAATCATAATTGATTGGTAACACACACTACTTTTCAGTGGTTTGGCTACTAAGTATTTGAAGATACTTAGTGCAAAAGTAAGTGAGATAATTGTCCAGTTGTTCAAAACCTTTTGAAAAGTCAGCATAGAAAGTGTGATGGGAAAAGAACGCTCAGTAGATGCCTTAATCTGGAATGTAGTATATGCTCATCATCTGTGAGCCCTGTATCTGACCT